CAGATGTTTCCTTCTTCAGGCGTTGCCACAGCGAGCAAACCCACACAAAAGATGTGGCATTTGCTTTACACTGGATTACCTTCATGATGCAACCTGGACTTGAACCTGCAGCCTCTGGGTTATGAGGCCGCTGCACTGACCACTGTGCAACTGAAAAATTAAAGGTCTAGCATTCCTTCAAGGACTGCATATTGTTTGCTGCCCTTGTCATCATGACTCTCAGCTACTATCACATTGTTGGCCCGGGGGCCAAATCAGACCCATGAGTGGACTCAGTTTGGCCCACCAAACGGTTAATTTTTAAATAAAATTAGGTTTTAAATCATAAAACAAACTTGTTTAATGCTGGATGTCCAGCCCCGGAGCTCTTGGCTTTCAGTAACTGTGGCCCCTTGAGCAGTTTAGTTGAACAGTCCTGCTGTAGTTCAGTCTACAAAGTGACTGAATAATGGTCTTTTTTGTGTTGGCATCCATCTTGTACCGGATTGACTCCAAACATTAATGAGCTATGGGTGTTTGTCTAATAATTCACTACTGAAAGTTTCATTACATATTTGTCCACTGGTTCATGAGATATTTTACTAACACTGCAGACAAACGTTATTGCTTTCAGCAGCAGGGGACAATAAAATAAAACTCAGTTTCAGGTCTTCGGGAAATCCATCCATCCATCATCTTTTACCCGCTTATTCCATTTTTGGGTCACGGGGGTCACCGGTGCCCATGTCCAGCAATCACTGTGCAAAGGGCGGGGTACAGCCTGGACGGGTCACAAGTCCATCACAGGGACACGTAGAGACAAACGAGACAAACAACCATTCACTCTCTCACTCACTCCTAGGGACAATTTAAAGTTACCAATCAGCCTAACATGCATGTTTTTGGTCTGTGGGAGGAAACCGGAGTACCCGGAGAAAATCCACGCATGCACAGAGGGAACATGCAAACTCCACCCAGAAAGGCCCCTGGACCGGGGTTTGAACCAAGGACCTGCTCACTGAGAGGCAGCAGCTCTAGCAGTTGCGCCACCGTGCTGCTCGTCTTCAGGAAATCGATTCGCAGATTAAGAGTTCATCCAAATCTCGAGTTTTTGCCTCAGATGAACAGCTCAGACTTTTGTAAAACAGGTTGATCTCAGCAACATCTGTCCTCCTCGTTACCACCTCCTCCTCGTTTCATCTCCCAACCTTTCAGAAGCTCTTCTTACTTTACATTCCTGCTCGTTGCTCACACGATGGAACCATATTCACCTCCGCTGCTGCAGAGAAAGTCAAATTGCTTGTTTTTCCTCAAAACCTGTCCAGATAAGGCTGGTCTGAGCTCAGTCTCTGTGATTTTATTCCTCTGTAGGACGACCATCTCTGTTATAAATCTGCTTCTCAAAGGCTCAAACATTTGTCCTGCAAAGACAGAACAGAATAAAGAAGTGGGTCTTTTTATGCAGTTTTTGTTGTAGGTGCCTTCGAAGGTGCCTCATAAATGTTTAAAGTGATACCTGAGCTTCAGTGTGAAACGCTGTGGTTTATTTCATGATTCTGGGGTTGTGTATTGCAACACTTGTTTTGTTTTTAAATCAAAGTCGGCCAAACCGTAACAGCTGAAAGCAGCGTTGATTTACTGAAGAAGATCTTAAGACTCTAAAGCAGCAGCGTCACCAAAATCAAACTCCACTCCAGACATCAGGTCTGTGCAGATCATTTACAGCTCAAGATTTAAGCTGTAAAGTTTAGGGAATAAGGTGGGATTGTTTACTTGGTAAACTTTTATAGTTTTAAAGGATAAAATACAGTTTTAACGTTTGCTTTATGACAGCAGTGGGTTCAGTCTGCAGACTTAAAGTGACATTTCAAATCTTTTGTAATGAGATTCTGTGAAAAAGAGTTAAAAACAATTAATATCTTACCTGTGGTAGATAGCTTGTTAATCATTGTGATGATTGTTGTTGTGGTTGTAGAGGACTCAAACGTGCAAGAAGCTGGCAGTTATATATTCCAAAAGTGATTTTGTAAATAAATAATAAAGAGCAAGCACTATTGAATAAATCTTTTTATTGCTGCCAGTTTTGCATGACACAGCTAATCAGTCAGAAATATTTTGATCTTCCTGCTGGAAGTGGTCTGTGTTGCAATGAAAGGGTTACAGCTAGCTGCTGCTGTTTGTGCTTGCCAACAACCTTTGTAATGCATTTAAGGAAAACAAACTAATTAAACACTGGCAACAGTGTAATGGATTTTAAAATAGACAGCTTGTTAGCTCATCACACCTGTCAAAACTAAACTGTGTCTCCAAACTTAAATTGTTCGAAGAGCCATCTACCACAGGGAAGATATTAGCTGCTTCTAACCAGGTGTAGGACGCAAGGAAAGATACTCTGAAACTCTGGTTTTTGTGTAACTTATGCGGATGAAACTTTAGCAATTAGTAAGAACCTCTTGCCTCTGAAGCAACCTTTGTTATTAAGGCCAGGCGGCTGTTATGTTGCCTGAGAGACGAAACTCAGGGCAGAGAGCCGAAATCTCGGCTTATTGCTGTGAGCGGAGTGCAGTGCAGGAGCCAAAGGCAGCTCAGATGAGCTAATATTTCCCTTCTTTCATTGGAGTGGTAGCAGGATGATAAGAAGGTGGCGTTTTAAAACACAAAAGAAGAAAAAAGAGAAAGTTAAAGAGAGAAAGTTTAGCTTTCAACCCTCAAATTGCAGGATGTGAAAGGCAAACTGTAATAATCCTCTACATGTTACTGTATAACGTTACATTTCTCTGCTCCCTGTGTGCATTTATTCTCTATTACTTGTTAAGCTGATGCTAATGAACAGCAGTCCAAATTAAGTAGAGGCCAGCGGCAGACACACACACACACACATTTAAAGTTATGAATTGGTGCAGACAGCTGTGCAATGAATCACTTAGTGGAGCAGAAGTAAGTGACAGAATGACCATGTGTGACTCACACCCCCCTTCCTGTTTCTGTTCCCCCATCAGTTTTTTTTTTTTTTTTTAAATCCTCCTCTAAACTTCTCTGGTGGTCATATCTCTTACACTGGCTCCACTCCGACCTTTAACGTGATTGGCTGTTGGCGTTTGTGCCATTAATTCTTCTTTGGCTCTAACAAGGTGAAACAGGAGGATCTGTGTGTCGCCATGTGTGAGCCCCCCCAACTCCCCATGTCAATATTAAAAATTACATTGTCTTAACATTTTTAAACAATGAAAACCTGATTCTGTATTACACTGTCTAAAAATGGCAGTATCTAATAAATTACAGTCTGCAAGTTGTTTCAACCAGTTTTTCACTTTACTTTAAAACAACTTCAAATAATTTAGAGTTGTTGCTTCTGAAAGGTTCGTTAAAAAAAATGTGTTCAGCTCATTAAGGAGAAGGGTGCTATATCTTTTGGTATTGGTGCAACTTTAGCTTTTTGAAATATTTCGCCTTTTCTACCATTTTTCTCGTAGAAAATGAATTGAGCTCATTTTGCATCCTTCAACTCTTTAGATCTGTTTACAACCGTTTACTGCTCCTTTCACATTTTGTTCTGCTTCAGCTTCTTTCAGCTTCATTGTGCAAATTTAAACATTTTCAGCTACTTTCAGCTAATATGAACTGTTTTCAGTTGTTTTGTGCTCCTTTTTGATTTTTTTTTTCTGCTAACTATAAGATTTTTGTGCTTCTTCTAACTTCATTCTGCTATTTCAACTACTATTTAGCTGTTTTTATGATAATTTCAGTTTTTCCAGTTAATTCCACATTTTTTTCACACATTTAAACATTTTTGAGCAAATTAGGCAAATATGTACTCTTTCAACTTCCTTCTGGTAATTTAAGCTTCTTTCTGCTTTTTTTAGCTACTTTTCAGCTATTTTTTTGTTTTGTTTGTTTTTTGCTTATTTCAGAATTTTTCAAATAATTACCACTTTTTTGTGCTAATTTCTGCTTCTTTAAATCTAATTGGGCAAACATTTGCTCTATCTGCTTTCTTCTGCTAATTTAAGCTTGTTATACGTTTTCAGCTAACTTTTTAGCATTTTTTGTTGTTGTTAATTCAGCTGTTTACACACCAATTTAATATTTTTTGTGGTAATTTCTTCTAAGTTCTGCCTAAATAACTCCTTTATGCTCATTTCAGCTTGTCATGCTCCTTTCTGCTTTTTCCTGCTTGTTTCAGCGTTTATTGTTTCAGCTAATATTTAGCTGTTTTTGTCATGCTCCTTTCTGCTTTTTCCTGCTTGTTTCAGCATTTATTGTTTCAGCTCATATTTAGCTGTTTTTATGCTGATTTTTGATTTTCCACATATTTTGAGCTCATTTCAGCTCTTTGCACTTCCTTCTAAAACACTAAGCTACTTTTTGCCTTTTCGGCTACTTTTCCGCTCCTGTTTCCAGGAATATCTTACAAAAAGATTTGAAGCTCTCGACCTTGACCTCTCTAAGTGGCTTTAAGAATCTGTTGGACTCCTGGCGGGGTCCAATGCAGACATGTTCCTGTTTTTAGTTTTATACATTTGTCTTGGAATCTAGCTGTTTTTTTGTTTTGTTACCTTTTTCCTTTTAGCCATCCTATTTGTTAAAAAAAAAACAAAAAAAAAACTGTAGTATGAGTTTTTATAACTGCTTATTGTTGTTGCTGTTGTCCATTGTTGTCATCTTTCTTTGTTGAAATCAGGTCTCTCTTGTAAATGAGTCCTCGAGGCTCAATGGGATTTACCTGTATAAATAAAGGTTGATTGATTGATTCATCTATTTTTTTTGTGCTAATTTCTGTTGTTTCAACACATATCTTACTTTTTGTGCTCATTTCTGCTTTTTTTAACTTAATTCAGCAAATTCTTTCTGCTTTCTTCTGCTAATTTATGATTGTTCTTCCATTTAAGCTATATTTCAGCATTTTTTAAGCTAAGTTTGGCTGTTTTTCAGGAAGTTCTTCCACAATAAGTATTCACGCTGCATTGTCGCAGGACATGCAATTTCTCTAGTTAGTTTTTGTCGTCCATTCCTCAGGTTTGATGTTTAATTACGGTTCTCTTCTGCCCTCCAGATGAGTTCGTGCAGCAGCCGTGCTCTGACCATCCTGTCCACGGTGTTTGGAGCCTGTGGGCTACTGCTGGTGGGGGTGGCCGTGTCCACTGACTACTGGCTCATAATGGTTGAAGGAATCATCCTGCAGCAGAACCAGAGCATGGAGGTGAAGATGGCTCTGCACTCTGGCCTGTGGAGAGTTTGCTTTGTGGCTGGTAGGAAGAAATATTCATGCACTTACACACACACACACACACACACACACACACACACACACACAGGTGAACTGCAGTGTTTGTGTGGATATGAAGATGCCAACAAGCATACAGAGAGAGATGGGAAAGATTGGCAAGTGGAGAGAGGAAAGATGGAGGAGAGCCTCACATCTGTCACAAAACATGACCGTTATGAGTGAACAAGACCGAGGAGACCTGTGCTTCTTCATGCATCGCTGACCTTGATCCTAAAAGTAAAACCAACATTCACCACCATTTTAAAATGTATTTTATTTTACAGGATCAGAGAACGGGAGGTGTGTTGCATCAGAGTATTTTACGGAACCTGAAGTAGAGATCACCACTGAAAACACGGCAAACATCCTAAGTGAGTGAAAACGGTCGTCTGCTTCAGACTGGAACTACCAAACCAGCAAGATGACAAAAATGACTTCAATGAACTACTGCGTTATTTATAATTGACTTGAAGTGAGAGGTGGAGACGAGGACAGGAAAGTGTTTAAGGTGTCGACGGAAGATCTTCAGCTGTGGGGCGAGGGGGGGACACAGAGTGCAGGATGGTCTCAGGAGGCCTTGGCTTCACTTTTAGTTTTTGTCATAAAAAATGTAAAAGAAGAAGGAAAAAGTGACTCACATGAGAAGCTCTGAAGTGATATATGCAGATATTCACCCACCGCTTGCTTTATTAGTTCCAGCAGAGTCGTTTTATCTTCATTTTAAATGTCAAAGTTTAATTTTTAAGGTTTTTACCAGATCCAACAGTTTCCGTCAGTCTGTCAGTGACAATGATGAAATTAAGAAGTCTGAGTTAAATTTTGTGCATTTTGGCTCAAACATGCTGCAAAGTTTTATGTCCTAAATTTCCACTGTGCAAAAAACAATAAGCTATTTCTCCAAGTAACACTATAAATTTTTGTTTTGGTGGTTAAGGTCATAGCTGATCTTTCTATAACTGAGCAGATTTAGTAAACATTTGACTGTCTTTGACGACTTGTTGCTCTGACAACAGTTGTTCATTTCATCGAGCGTTGAATGACACGTTGTCCACATCCAGTAGGCTTTTTTTACACACTGTGACCTTTGGCTCCCACAGAGATGGTGCGCACAGCCACGCCCTTCCCCATGGTGTCACTGCTCTTCGTCTTCACTGCCTTCGTCATCAGCAACATCGGACACATCCAGCCTCAGCGCACCATCCTGGCCTTTGTGTCCGGCATCTTCTTCATCCTGTCAGGTAGGTCGTGCTGTCCCACCGCGCTGCAGACTGGTTACAGCAGCTCAGCGTGTCTCGTGTCACGCAGGGAGACGTTTTGTTACAAATCTATTTTTGGTCAATGATAACAGGAGTGTCTGTCGTCATCAGAAATGGTGATGAGGTTTATTTTCGTGATCCTCAAGCGTTGAAAATTTTTCTGGACTAAAACGAAGCCAAGTCTTATGAGAATATATTGGTTCCTTTGAATTTGTCTAATTGGATCAAGCTGCTTTCAAACATGCTGTAATACAGTCATCATTTAAAAGAAAAAAAAAAACTATCTGTATCCCTCTGTTTTCCAGTTTGAGTAGTTTTCTAAACTTCCATTTCTAGCAAAACTCCTGAAAAAGGTGGTGCTGAAGAGCGAGCGACCACCACCAACAACCAGTTGTGGTCCAACCTTGATTTAAATGCAATTTCAGAAAAAATAGCACAGAAACAACTCTTGTTAAAAGATTTTAAGTTGGTTTTTAATTGTTGACTCTGGTCATCTTTCTGTCCTGGCACAGTTAGATCTGACCGCCTCTTCTGATACAGAGGCTCACATCATCATCAACGCTCATGTTCAATAATCCAGGTAAAAAAATCCAACAAAGTTCAGTCAGGTCATCTGGACCTTTTTTTTTTTTTTTTTGTGTGTGTGTGTGTGTTGAAACGTTTCATCCTTCATCCAAAGAACTTCATCAGTCCGAGGAGCCACAACTAGTCTCATACTGTAAGTAGCACACTCACATATGGGCAAACCAGTTTGATGGTTTCTGGAGTCCAGCCTCTCCCCTGTCGACTCCTCTGAGGCAGCCATGGCCAAAGTGGTTCAAAACAAAACAAAGAGACTCACAACATTCTTTGTTCACGTCTTAGCTCGTGTTTTGGTGTAAAAGTTGCAGCCTTTAAGAACTTCGATTACCCAAACAAAATAGTTTCAGCTTGTTCTTATTCAGATTTGGGACATTTCTTTACATCCAGGGTGGAAACAGGGTGGGCCCTGTTTGCATGTGTTAAAAACCTGCTTCTGGGATTCCAGCAGGAGGTTGGCTTGAAACACAGCAGTGAAGGCTACATGTGGGACAGACCTGGTTGGCAGGCTGTGATGAGGAAGTCCTCTGGATGGGGGACAAATGTTTCTCACTTAAAGAAACAGGTCCAGATGACATGATTTAACATTTTTTGTTGTTATCTGCCTGGATGATTGAGCTTACAAACCATTTTTTTTTCCATCCATGTTTGAACATCTCTGACAGTCCACTAAGGTTTGAACAGACCGATGGTGGTTTGCTGGTACAAGTTCAAGTTCAAGGTTCTTTATTGTCTTTCACATCACATGTGGTACATGAGGTGGAACAAAATGGTGTACACAGCGTCTCAGTTACATTCATCAATAGCAAAAATATAAATTGTAAAAGAAACAGTACAAAGGATCTAAGACATAAGCTAAGAAATACACTAAACACTAATAGTGCAAAACAATACGCTGAACAACAGCAGCACGGACATGAGTGTGTGAGCAGACGAGTACGAATGAATACAGTAGCAGGAATACATCAGCAGCATGAGATCAGCAGCATGGATAATCAGCAGCACATGTCAACAATCAAAGTGGCATTACAGTGATTTTTTTTCACAGTGATTATTCTGGTTAGATATTCATGAGTCTAACAGCCTCAGGGTAGAAGCTGTTCCTCAGTCTAGTGGTTCTACACTTAATGCTCCTTAACCTCCTAAGGTGTGTTTGTTCCATATGAAGTCCACAACCATCTCCTTCGTTTTCTTCACATTGATGTCAAGGTTGTTCTTCCTACACCAGCACTCCAGGTGTTCCACCTCCTGCCTGTAGCTGGACTCATTTTTGTGATGCATCCCACCACCACTGTATCATCTGTAAACTTTACAATGTGACAGCCTGGATGGGTAGGTGTGCAGTCATACATGAGCAGAGTAAACAGGAGGGGGCTCAACACACAGCCCTGAGGAGAGCCAGTGCTGAGGGTTATAGTGGAGGAGGAGAAGTTGTGGATCCTCACAGACTGTGGTCTGTTTGTTAAGAAGTCTAGGATCTAGTTGCAAATGGATGGGCTTAGTCCTAGTGTGAGTAGTTTGTCCATCAGGGTTTGGGGGATCATGGTGTTGAAAGCAGATGTGAAGTCCACAAATAGCATACAGAAGTAGGAGTCCTTCTGCTCCAGGTGGGTGAATGCAGTGTGGACAACAGAGGAGATGGCGTCCTCTGTTGATCGATTCTTGCAGTATGTTTACTGGTAAGGGTCCTCGCTGATGTTGATGGTAGCTTTGATGTGAGTCGTGTCTTTTGAAGCATTTAGTGACTATCGGGGTGAGTGCTACAGGCTGGTAGTCATTCAGACCAATCACTTCAGAGCTCTTTGGAACTGGGATGATGGTATTTATTTATTAACCTCTATTTAACCAGGCAAATCCCATTGAGATCACAGATCTCTTTTGCAAGGGAGGCCTGGGCCTGAAGGCAGCCTAACATGCATGTTTTTGATGATAAATATGTGCAGTATATGATGATTTTAACACGATGATACAAGCAGGAAGATCTGAAGATCATACACAAAATGGTTAAAGGTGATGTTATGAATTGTGAAAATCAAAAATGAAAAAAGAAAAGGACTGAAAATAAAGCCTTGAGGTACTCCACAGCTTTCAATTTCCTTATGAGTCACAGCAGCTTGCAGTTATAACATCAAAAGCCAAAGATAGAGTTTTACAAGCAGTGCTCAAGAAAATAGGACATTATTTTCAAAAATTGTTTTTATAAAATGTGGCCACACGGCTCGTTGGTCTTTCTTTCACACACATTCCAAATTCAGTGAAACTGCAATAAAAGTTTGTCTATTTTGTTGCAATTTTAAGTTTCCAACTTGTCTACAACAGTTGCAACCCAGTGAGAAACCACTTTTAAATTGTTGCAACTGTGTGATAGGCCCATTAAGAAGGTTCAAGGTTCAAGGAGACTTTGTCATTCACATCACATGTGGTGCATGAGGTGGAACGAAATTGTGTACTCAAGGTCCCAGTTACGCTCAAAAATAGCAATAATATAAAGTATTTAAAAAAACAGTATACAAGGATCTAAGATATACACTAAACAAGAATAATGTAATATAATACAATGTATTAATCAGCAGCCTGAACATGAGTCTGTTGTTAGCAGAAAGTTATGAATATAGCAGCTTATGGGTAAGAAATCAGCAGCATGGATAATCAGCAGCACAAAGTGTCAAATGTCCAAGTAAAGTATCATTAATTTATTATTAGATTTTTATTGTCTCCAGGTTACAAAAACTTTAATAAACAAATGAGCTCAGTTGTCAAGACAAGCTTTTTCCAGTTGCACTTCCTTGAAATATGTTCGAGCAGTTTGAGTCAATAAATGATGCCTTCATTACATCTCATTTAATTTATGCATGCTGCTGTTGCTCCTCCTTTACTTCGACATCTGCAAACTATAAAACACAGCAGCTCATATTCTAATTTGCAAATGAAGAGCTGCTCAGACTGCTACTCCTTTCAAATTGCTACTTAATCCCCATTTATTTCACTGACTTTAGGTCACGGTTGAGTTAGATATCTTGGCTTATTGTGTTGATGTTTCGTTTGTTTTATTGTGTATTTGTGGCTCCTGTAATAATTACTGGTTTTATACGTTACACTTTGTTCTGCGCTTTGCTCCCTGGAGGCTGTTCTGCACATGTTCTCTGTAAATCAGCTTTGACTGGACTTGCAGTGAAGCTTGTTGAGCAGCAGATGACGGTAACGTTCCAGTTTCCTGTGCTCAGGTTGTGGAGTTAAAAGAAAAAAAAACTGCCAGAGTGCAGCTTGTTCCCTCTGATGGCTGCTTCTCTGGGCACGTTTCAGGAGGATGCAGAGTTAAGAGGAGCATCAAACACAATCTGATATGACAGCTTTGACTCGCGGGGACTTGATGGCAACGGGTGCAGTATAATGTGAAGCGTTTCATAACAGAAGTTATATAATTTTTACAGCATGGGCTTCAAGTGTTTATGGGATGTGCTGATATTGGGCTGATAATAATTGTGTAGAATTGCCTTTGTGCCCCCCCCCCCCCCCTCATCAGAGAACCTCCGCTCACCAACTCCTCGCACCGCCCACCGGCGCCGGCGCGGT